ACAGTATAAGTCATTATAATCCGTAATTATGTCCCCACTGGATGCAACGAATGCCTCGTTTATAATGGGTTTTCATGTTTTTGTCTCGTCGCCCCGGCCGGACAGAGCATCAAAGTATGGTGAGGGGCATAACATTTCCGTCACACGCTTGAGGTATTCGGCCAATCACAACGCACTGGATAGCTGGCCAATCACAGCACACCTCGCTTTTCAGACCGATGAGCTTTGTAAAAATCGACGCATTTCAGAAAGGCGGGGCATAGAGGAGAAACAATAATGTACAGTATGTGGAAAATAATGTGTTTTTTCAACCTTAAACCGCATAAACACATTTCATTACACCAAATACACAAAATAATGTTCTTTTTAGCAGCATCATATGACCCCTTTAAAATCAGTTGTGTTTCAACTGTACCAGTTCATTCACCTCCTCTGACTGCTTCTGATCACCTTCTTGCATTTGATCTAAAAGGAAAGGATTGTTATTGGTCAGTGTGTGTGCTCATTGGGGTTTATTTTGTGATACTCTCAATATATTAATATTTGCTGGTGTTTACCTTCTCCAGTTTCAGTCTTTGTCCATAGGCCGTGGCGAAATGTGTCGGTTTGAGATTCACTTTCTGCTGTTTTATCCTTATTTTCCTCAGAAGGACCTTCAGCAGCCATGTGCTCCTCTGCATATTCTTCAGGCCTCTAGAGGTTACAGAATTCACAATGCCTTGTCTCAACATATTCACTTTTCAATAGAAGTTTGAATATTTCTCAATCCTTCAAGTAGATGTAGCTGCAGTGAACAGCAGAAGTACAGTACCTGCATTATGGGGTCTTGATGAGGGTCCATTTCATCAAATGACTCCCTGTTTTCAGTTTGTGGGACGTCATTGTCTTGACACTTACTATTTTCATAGCAGAGAATGTTAATTAAAAGATAGCCACTAACCTGACAAAAAAAAACAAATCTGCTGTGAAGATAAAATACCTGATGCTGTCAGCAGCATTAGTGACTGGCTCATCTTCACCTATCAAAACACAAGATCTGTATTAAAAGACATGTAAATACATTTAAAAAAACACATTATTTATGTGTTTTGGAACTAATTTTTCATTTTTTGGATATACTTGAGGAGGAAACAGGTTGAATTACCCAGTGCTGCCACCAGTTCTCTCTCTTTCTCCGATATCTGTTCTTCCGTTGCTCTGATTCTCCTCTCGATTTCCTCATTCTCGGCTTGAATCTTCAGCAGTTTTTGAGCCAGTGAGTTCTGACAGTATCGATCCTTATACTGCTGAAACACGTTCCTGTAGCTCTCCATTCTCTCCTGGAAGATTTTCCTTCAAAGACCAAGCATCTTTAACCCTTTAAAGCCTACTGTATCATATTTGATATGTGATTTTCCATACACGTGATTGCTGAAAAACCTGTTGCACACAATCTACATGCTTGCACTTACTGTAAATATCATCTTATTAGTACAACATATTAGTGGGAAATATAGTGAGATAACTGGTATTTATATCATTTTATGTAAGTATCTGCTATATTGTTATAAAGATCTCATCGATTTACATTACAAGCTTCAGAATTTCCTACGGTGGCCGAGAAGTGCAAAACAAATCACAATTCTGAAAACAAAATAACAAATTACAAACGCAAATGCAAGTCTAAAAAACAAAATAACAATTCAGAAAACACAACAACAATTCAGAAAACACTATAACAAGTCAGAAAACACAATGACAAATCCGAAAACAAATGAACAAGTCAGAAAACACAACGACAAATCAGACAAACCGGAAGAGGTAAGTATAGTTTGAGACAGCGCCATTGGTACCCTAACCCTACCCGATACTTTATTTTCAACTTTTTGATTATTTCCTTAATTTTTATTGAAAATAAATGTCTTTACGATGTGATCCGAGTTTTGAAAAGGGAGGAAAAAAAAGTTCGGCAAAAGGTGGGATTGAACACGGGTCGATCGCGTCAAAAAGCCAATGACACACGCTTATCCATCTGTCATTGTGTTTTCTGACTTGTTATAATGTTTTCTGAATTGTTGTTGTGTTTTCTGAATTGTTATTTTGTTTTTTAGACTTGCATTTGCGTTTGTAATTTGTTATTTTGTTTTCAGAATTGTGATTTGCTTTGCACTTCTCGGCCACCGTAATTTCCGGCCATATAAATATTAGCATCTGCACCAAATTGCATTTTTTTCCCCCCAAGTTTGGGCCTCTTGAGTTGTTTTTCCTCCATATTCTCACTATATTTACATTTAGTCATTTAGCAGACGCTTTTATCCAAAGCGACTTACAAATGAGGACAATAGAAGCAATCAAAACCGGTTCGTCTAACTATATTAGACTATATGAGCAATAAAAGCTTGATGTACCAAATATGATGCTCAAGAGAAAACACACATATGCAGACTTTTTCATATTTTGTCTAAAGGTTCAATAAACTGTTCCATTTGAAAAAGACATATTTTTATGACTATTACTTCATATGTCAGGCTTGACCTACATGTCTTGATTATAGCTGTCCTGTCTCTTCTCTAGCTCAGCTTCCAGTGTCTTTTCATACTGAAGCAGCAGATGTCCTGTTCGCTGGAGACTGATATCAGAACATTTATATTTATATTATACTCGGTTTGAGACTTGAAAATAAACACATTGTCAGCCTCACACTTTGCCGTACTTCTTAGTGTTTTCTCTGATGAACTTCCAAGTGTTTTGTTTTTGCTGGGTCTCCTCACTGAGTTTGCTGAGGATCTTGTGAGTTGTGTTAAAGTAATCCTTCTTCTCTTGAATGTTGGACTCGCAAACTAAAAACACAACAGACAGAGCAAATTATGACAGTGATTCTTCAATTAGGAGAACTTTTTATATTTCGTGTTTTAAAAACGTACTTTGTATTTGTTGTTTGAGGTCATCCTTCTTCTGAGCAAGCTCTCGTGTTTCTATACCTGTTTATGTATTACAGTATACAGTAAATATCAAGTTAAACGTGTCAGAATATGTAAACAAATTATGAAATGAAGCGTTCACAATCACCTAACTGAAGCAGCAGGTTGTCCAGTTGATTTACCGTCTGCTCCTCCATTCAAAACACTCACAAATAGCACACGGATCACGTAAATAGATCTATTTTCCAATCTTACGATGTTGTATAACTCAAATATGCAGTTGAAAGGCGAATACTGTGCGTTTTGACGCGTTTTAAACAGAGCTCGTGCGCGTCAGTTACAGCGTCCGTTACTTCGCGAGATTTTGACGTTACGTTAACTGACGGTTACCTAATCTTTTATCAGAATAATTTTCAAAAAAATTCAATCATAAATATGGCATTTGCTAAATAAGATATTAATGACGACATACGCGGTTACATAATCTTTTATCAGAATAAAAAATAATTTTCAAAAAATTAAATCATAAATATGGCATTTGCTAAATAAGATATTAATGACGACATACGCGGTTACATAATCTTTTATCAGAATAAAAAATAATTTTCAAAAAATTAAATCATAAATATGGCATTTGCTAAATAAGATATTAATGACGACATACGCGGTTACCTAATATTTTATCAGAATAATTTTCAAATAAATTAAATCATAAATATGGCATTTGCTAAATAATATATTAATGACGACATACGCGGTTACCTAATATTTTATCAGAATAAAAAATAATAATTTTCAAATAAATGAAATCATAACTATGGCATTTGCTAAATAAGCTATTAATGACGACATACGCGGTTACCTAATATTTTATCAGAATAAAAAATAATAATTTTCAAATAAATGAAATCATAACTATGGCATTTGCTAAATAAGCTATTAATGACGACATACGCGGTTACCTAATATTTTATCAGAATAAAAAATTATAATTTTCAAATAAATTAAATAATAAATATGGCATTTGCTAAATACGATATTAAAAGTAAATAAATTAAGTAGTTGGTTAGCGCGTCATAAGACGAGTCGTTACTTGTTTTATGAATAAATAATTAAAACGATTTGACCATGTTCAGTCAGTAACAAAACTTTTTATTCGCAACATTTTATGTACATTTTTACTTACATTTATTAATTAATTATTTTACTAAATACGCATTTATTTTATTAAAATAAATATAAATATTTAATATTATACAGACAGAAGCATATACACAAATACGCAGAAAATGCTATTTAAAAATAAATATTTAGAATAAAATATCGATGAGGATAAAAGTAGTTCACTGGACTGTCATTGGTTGTACTGTAGAGGAGGATTTATCGTCGTCTGATTGGACGGGACAGACGTTGCAGATTCAGTGGGCGGGGCTTGCGTTCATCGTGGCCCAGGCGCATCTGCATGGCGGCTGCGTTTAGACAGCAAACCCAGCTAAGCATTTCATCGCAAGAGTTTTCACAGCTGTTCTTTCGTGCATTTGCATCTGGTAGGTAAGAATGCAGTTCTTATGACTTAAGCAGGAGCTTCTGGTGGTTGTGAATAAGACGTGTTACAGTAGAGCCTGGTTTGGGTGTGATTAAACCCAGAGCGGATCAGCTGAGAGAAAAACAGCCTCCGCCTGGCTCTCAGGCATTACAGAACACTGGCTCAAAATAAACACTCATCTCAGAGGGGTTCAGATGAAGGGTTTTAGTTTCATATGCTGTTTTATTAAACACCGTCTTCTGACTCATGTGTCTCCTGTATGTCTTTGTTTCTCTGACAATAGAGCTGAATGAAAGGAAGGGTGTTGTTGGCTGCACAAAAGCTATTGTACATGTCAGTGTTATTTTTATATACTTTTTAGCATTTATTCATATTTTAAATTAGGTTTTATTTTTATATTTTCAGTTTTCATTTCAATTCCTGGTTAAGTTTTAGTCATTTTGTGATGCTCATTTTGATTTTTTTTTTATTGTTATGTGCATTAGCAATTTTGTTGTGTTGTTGTTACTTTTATTAGTTTTTTTTTTTTAATAATTCTATTATCTTTATTTCAGTTTTAGTCATTTTATTACTTCAACCTAAACTTATTTTATTCCAGTTAGCTGCCAAGGCAACATTTCTAATTAGTACTTGTGTCATTTTCATTAGTTTATTTTTTCCTTTTAACTTTAATTTAACTTTATTTCAGTTTTAATAATTTTAGAACTTACCTAAACTTAGTTTAATTTTAGTTAGTTGTCACATATCTAATTTTATGTGCTTTTGCATTTTTATTTATATTTGTTATATAAATATTTCTATTTAACTTGAATTTATTTTATTACAGTTTTAGTAATTGTAGTGCTTCAACCTAAACTTGTCTATGTAATTCTTAATTTTCTAATTAATTCTAATTAATTCCTAAACATTTTAAATTTTAGTTTTTGTATGTGCTTTTATCATTTTTGTTTGTTTTTAATATTTATATGAAGCTTTAATACTGTTAATACTAATCATTTATTTTTATGTCAGTTTTAGTAATTTTAGCACTTCAACCGTACCTTTTCTGATTAATTCTTCATTTTCAAATTAATTCCAAGTTCTATTTCTATTTCTAATTTTACTTTAGCTTTATTTCAGTTAACACATTTCTTTAACATTTTTAATTAACCGTAACAACACTGAAACATGTCTGCTATTATTGCTCAGTAAAAGCATTAAAACTTCATTTAATGCACGTTGACCTCTATAGTGGGGCATGTTGTCACCATGTGAACCTGCTGTTACACAGTGAATATACAGTATGTATGATTTAGAAAAAATATGGGATATCTTGCCTCATAATTAATATACTCCTTATAAACTCTCTTGTATACATTTATATAATTTACCTGTTAGTTCAAGTCAGGCAAAATAATGTAATGTTTTCCTTATTTTCCTGTTTGAGTGAATGCATGCCAAATATCAACTGTGCATCATGTTTCTCTCTCATTCCCACAGGCTTGTCATGTTTGGATGGAGTAAATAGCCTTCTCCAGTCTCGCTGAAGTTGTAGCTCCTTCCAAAGCTTGTGAGACACTAACATGGAGCAGCTCAGGTCTGACAGCCCTCAGCTGGAGTCTGTAAGGTCAGAGGTCTCTGAAGGGCAGGTGGATGAAGGAAGCAGCGGCACTAGCACTCGAAGGAAGAGGAGAAAGCGAGAACACCGGCCGGAGTCCATCATCGTCTACCGCTCTGATCCAGAGAGAGCCGCTGGTGAAGACCATGGAGGAGATAGTGAGGGTGGAGAGAGGAACTCTGAAGAGGGAGCTACGTTTCTGAACAGCCCCAGCAGTGAAGGTGAAGCATGCGATCTAGTAAGAAAAGTATTTGGACACATAAGCCACTTCGCAATGTCTTTCCATTACAAAACAAAATATCAAAATCAGTTACGCTCACAAAAAAATATCAAAATCAGTTACGCTCACAAAAAAATAAGTCAGTTTGGTTCCAAATTATAAATCAATAAACAATATATACAATGCCTGACCAAAAAAAAAAAAGTCACCATTTGAAATTAAGTAAGCAAATACTGAAGAGTCTAGGATTTAATCATTATTGCAGTGATTAATATGTTTCTGGCATGTTTTGCAACAATTCATTTAACCCTAACTGATGCCGTGCGTAGCTTTGTCAGAAGTCATACCCATGTACAGATTCCAGGATGACCGTGTCAAGGTTCATCAGCCTCAGTTTGTGAAACAGTGGTTCAACGAGCATGAGGAATCATTTTCATGTATGAATTTGCCACCACAGAGTCCTGAGCTTAACCCTACTGGAGGTCTGGTGGTTTGACTCCCATTATCCATACAAGATCTCGGGCAAAAATGAACGTAATTCTTTATGGAAATAAATGTTCAGAATCAGAATGCCTTTATTGTCATTACAACGAAATTCAGTGCAACTCAAGCAAAATACAAAACACAGAATAAAAGTAACACACAACAAGCAACTTGACATAGCGGCAAAAATAGATAGATAGATAAATAAATAAATAAGCAGTAGAAAGTGTATTGCACAATCCCATGTGTAATATGTTTTGCTAGGGGTGTGCGATATATATCGTCTGCGATAATATCGTAATTGTTGATTTAACGATGTGCGATTAGACATTATCGAATATTTTGCAAAAACCATTCAATACACCCCTACAGAGCCAGGCATACATTACGTAAAGTCTAGACTAGTGCGCGTGCGCATGCATTTAGAGTGCGTTCTTTCACTGCATGATTCATTAAAATGCATTTAGAATGATCACAAATTCAAGACATTTTTACCACTTCTTATAGTTAATCAATTTCACATGAAGAGTGCCGTTTTTCTCCAAAAAATGGCCATGATTACAAATGTGATATTGATTTGTTTTACAACAGTTCAATAAACTGGAAGTGAATTAAGAAACTTACGTTTTAGATGCCATATTTCCTGTTTTTGTGCTATTTCGACAACAAAAATAATTTCAAACACAGCCACAATGCTGTTTTGCGTCTCTGAGCAACATGACGGTGTTTCGTTCCTGAATGAATCAACCGTTTAAATGATTCGGTTCAATCGCAATGAATCACTCATTAACAGTGACTTGCTGCCACCTACTGGCGGTTTTAATTTCACACTCAAAGTATCTTTTATTATTTAAATAATTTCAAATATCAGTATTCAACGTTTTATGTTTAATATATCAAAACATTATTTATTCATTTGTAATCGCAGGTTAAATGCATTCATGTCTTGTATTAAACAGTGTGTAAATTTAATGCATCTAAATGCCACTTCAGTGTTTCCTCTGCATTGCAAAGATGAATTGATACTGATTTAATTTTCTTGGTAACAGCCAAAACTTTAGGAGTCAGCTGTCCACGGTAGTCCTAAAGATACCAGCACAATAACACACTGAGCAAAATATTGTCTAATTATCGTTATCGATAAAATCCCAGAAAATATCGAGATATTATTTTTTGTCAATATCGCACACCCCTATGTATTGCACAGGACAAATGTTGTGATGTTGCATAACATTGTCAAAACAGTGGCACAATGAAAGCAAATATTATCAAATCTAAAAGTGGCCCAAAAAATGGTGGCTAAATATTAGTGTGTGCAACCTTTTTTGGACAGGCCCATCCCAAAGACTTTTAATAGGGTTAAGGCCAGGACTCTGTGGCGGCCAATCTTTCACAGATTGAGGCTGATGAATCTTGACATTGTCATCCTGGGATATGTCCATGGGTACTGTTGCCAAACATAGAACATGCCAGAAATATATTAATCACTGTAAGAATGATCCAATCCTAAAATCTTAAGTATTTGCTAATTTAAATTCAGACGGCAACTTTTTTTGGCCAGGTAGTGTATTAATACTTTAATATCCTAATGACATTTGTCATAAAAGAAAAATTGATCATTTTGACCCATACAATGTATTTTTGACTATTGCTACAAATATACCCCAGCGACTTAAGACTGGTTTTGTGCTCCAGGGTCACATATGAGGAATGCATTAAAAATACCGCAGCACTCCGGATTTTGTCTCATCCTAAATGAAATGTCTTGGCTTCATCAGGTTGGGCCGTGCCTCCAGACAGCCGCTACGTGACGCTCACCGGGACCATCACACGCGGAAGGAAGAAAGGTCAGATGGTGGACATTCACGTCACGCTCACAGAGAGAGAGCTGCAAGAGATGGCCAGGTCAAAGGAGCGTCTGGATGCCGAATGTGATGCTCGCGAGGGATCGAGCCGCTCGTGCGGTTTTGGGCTTTCTCAGGGTCCCCACGTCGTCCTGTGGAGCCTCTCCTGCGCTCCCGTCATCTTCGTCCTGTCCTTCATCACCTCGTTTTACTACGGTACTCTCACTTGGTACAATATATTCCTGGTGTACAACGAGGAGCGGACGTTCTGCCATAAAATCACGGTCTGCCCGTTCCTCATCATCTTCTACCCCGGGCTCATCGTGGCTCTGTCGCTGTCGCTGGGCTTGTATTCGGCTGTGGCGCAGGTGTCCTGGGCCTTCAGCGAATGGTGGCTGTCGGTCAGGGATCTGGAGAAGGGTTTCTGCGGATGGGCTTGTGGGAAGCTCGGATTGGAGGACTGCTCTCCGTACAGCGTGGTCGAGCTGCTGGACTCGGACACCATTTCTGGGAGTCTGCAGGGAAAGTCGCTGCAAACATCTTCGGTGTGAATAGAAATCATCCCGAGATTTTCTCTGATGGTTACACAGCCCCTGCATCTTCTGCAAAAAATGCCTAGAATTGGCTAATTTGATGATGCTGAGTCCAAAATTATCAACAAAAACTTTCTAATATATAGTTTTTTTTTTTCACAAAATAGGGATGATTTTTCAAATGTTTCCGTTTTAAAGTAATAGTTCTCCCAGAAATTAACATTTTCTGAAAATGTACTCACCATCAGGCCATCCAAGATGTAGATGAGTTTGTTTCTTCATCAGATTTGGAGAAATGTAGCATTACATCAGTGTCTCAGCAACGGATGCTCTGCAGTGAATGGGTGCTGTCAGAATGAGAGTCCAAACAGCTGATAAAAACATCACAATAATCCACAGCACTCCAGTCCATCAGTTAACATCTGGAGAAGCCAAAAGGAGGTTTTGCTTTAAACCAGTGGTCTCAAACTCAATTCCTGGAGGGCCACAGCTCTGCAGAGTTTAGCTGGATCAGGTGTGTTTGATTAGGGTTGGAGCTAAACTGTGCAGAGCTGTGGCCAATGCTTTAAACTGTCGCTTTTGGCTAAAATACGAGTTCATAATCCATAATAATGCTTCCTCCAGTGAAAAAGTCCATCTCCTGTTGTCTCTCACATCAAAATCCAGCCACATATTTGTTTAGAGCTGTTTTAGCTTGTAAACGTGCTTGATCTGTGCAGATTTCTCTCCTGATTCAGACCAAAAATGTTTTCATTGGAGGAAGCGTTATTATGGATTATGGACTTGTATTTTATCCAGAAGCAACAGTTTGAAGTTAAATCGTCTTAATGATTGATTTTATTTTTTAAATCCTTCTTATTCCTTTAATGACAAAAAGAATGCTTCAGGATGTATTGTTTAACTTACAATCGGCAAAGGATTGTAAAAAATGTTTAAATAGTCAATTTAATGGCAAAGAACTTTTACAAAATAAGCAAAATCTGTAATTGGCTGTTGGGGTGTAGTTAAACACTTATCTAGATGTAGCAACATCTGGGTCATGTTTGCATTTCTCTCTAGCTATAATCAGGATTAGGCGGAAAATAATGTCATGCATGTAAAAAAAAATGGGTTGAGAATTGAACAAATAATTGTAATTGGGCTCAGTGGAGGACAGGAATCATGTTTTTGTGCATTACAAATTTTTGGATTTCATCCAGCAAATATAATGCAGGGTGGTGTTATTGAGCCTGGGCCAAACTTTTATTTTGTTCTTCATATTTAGTCTCTTGCTTACCAAGAAGGTGGTTTTTTTTTTGGTTTTTTTTACAGTTTCCTGTTTTCATATCATAAGGCATTAATTCTTTCATAAGCAGTACATTTAAAATATTTATTTTTTGCTATTGTTTATTGGCACTTGGCAGGTATTAATTTTGGATCCCGGGCCAAACTCTAATTTGTTTCACTTATTTAGTCTCTTGCTCACCAACAAAGTTGTTGTTTTTAACTGCATTTTTTCATATCGTATGTCAGACATTTTACTTTCATAAGGCGTGTATTTAAACTATTTATTCTTTGCTCTTTTATTGTATTTATTTTAACAGTTTGCATGTTTTATTTTTATTAAAAAAAAAATTCTGTAAAGCAGATGGGAGGAGAAAAGGCTTTTCCTAACCCCCTGTAAAATGAAGCCATATATAATCATATGCAAATGAACTGTGAGATTGTGAGAAGCCCTGTGTATTCTGTGAGTAGTTTTATTTATGACGAGCCCCAGAGAGAATTTAATAAACAAACACAAAAGGGGCAAATGATGTGCAGAATGTTGTGAGTGTGTGTATATGGGGGCTGACAATTATTCCAATATTATATTCATAACCAGTACAAAGATTGTGTCTTGGGCATCAAAAGAACATCTTAAATCACTGCATATCAAATGCATTATGAGAAAATTATTGGTTGGTTAGTACATTTTTCATCAGTGGTTTACATTTGTCTTTGTTTCTCTTTGATTTAATCCTTTGAACTTACAGTTTGCATTTATATTGTGCAGTGATGCTCAAAAGAGATAATAAAATTCATATTCCTGTATTTTCATGTCTGGTTTGTGTGTCTGTTGTGATCTACAAAACAAAACATGTTGAACATCCTTTGCAGAATTTATAATGTAGGAATTTCACAGATTACTTACAACTAACTGGCTGAAAAACGTATTGTAGGAAAGTCATCATAAAAATATGTTTTTCCTTTCGCTTGCTCACCGGGTTTATTAACCCTCTGATGCATGAAAATATATATATATACAACAAGGACATCATCTTTACTAACCTTTTATTTATTTATTTTTAAATATGTGACATTAACATCTATGTAATCCATAAGCAGTTTATGAACTTAAAATAGCATGCTTTCGTTCAGTTTTTGACTTTATAAAGTCATGCACAACAGTCACATCTCATTTGAATACGTGCATGTGCGTCCATCCATGTGATTTGCATGATTATCATAAGTGATACTTAAGAAATCCTCATATATCCAGTCATAACACAATCTGACAGATTATAACTGGATAGGCCTATATGAGGATTTCTATAAACACGTTTGACCTACACTGAACATGTTTCATCTTGTGTAAGAAAAATCCTTCTACAGACAACGTCTTTGTCTTTTTAGAGATATCTGCAGTGTTAATTGATAAGTGCCACTCAATATTACAATGTTTACTATTCACTTTAACGTCATTTTGCATAATCTCTTGAGGGCTTCACTTTTACAGGTTGAGGCAAATCACGACACCGTTTACGTTTGCGTCTTCACACTATGTTTAAATTATATTAAATCATTTATCAAGTGTCCTGGCATAAGGGAACACAAAGTTTTGGGGTTTTTTAATCGTTTTGTTTCTCTGTCTGAGGCGGAACCTTGTATCATCCGCTCATTTACTCACCCGGAACAATAACAGACGGAAACCAGAGAGAGAGATGGCGCGAGCAGCGAAGGTACTTCCGTTATTATTCGTTGATCATAAGCTTGTGTTATTATTATTGATAATAAATAATGCGTGTTTACTTTTATACTACTTAAATTTCATTGGACATAATTAACTTTTTGGTTGGTATTTATGCACATTTACACACTGTAGAAAGTTTCACTCGCTCTTGTTGAAAAAAAATGTAGAAAACAAGTGTCATGCTTGAGTTATTAAAGTATCTTTAAGTATCACTGAATGTTCAGCTTTATCTCAAATGTGTTCCCCATAGAAATCCCTCGTAGAAATAAAAATAAACAAGTTTTATACATTTGAATAATACAATTGCTGTCATGCAGAAAGAGTTCATACTGTCTCAAATGCAATTGTTTTTTAATTGCAAACTTTAGTATCCTCTGTATAAAATCTGAGCACGTTTTGAGACTTTTTCTGAATCTAGAGATGAGACACATGTGAGATTACTGTCTTTTTCTCAGGAGAAACACAAGAGTTAACCATATGTCTCCATTTAATCTCATTAAGATCTCATTTGTGACCCTGGACCACAAAACCAGTCATAAGGGTCAACCATCTCAAAGCTGAATAAATAAGCTTTCCATTGATGTATGGTTTGTTAGGATCGGACAATATTTGGCCGAGATACAACTATTTGAAGATCTGGAATCTGAGGGTGCAAAAAAATCTAAATATTGAGAAAATCGCCTTTAAAGTTGTTCAAATTAAGTTCTTAGCAATGCATAATACTAATCAAAAATTAAGTTTTGATATATTTACGGTAGGAAATTTACAAAATATCTCCATGGAACATGATCTTTACTTAATATCCTAATGATTTTTGGCATAAAAGAAAAATCTATAATTTTGACCCATACAATGTATTGTTGGCTATTGCTACAAATATACCCCAGCGACTTAAGACTGCTTTTGTGCTCCAGGCTCACATTTATTGTTTTTGATAAATAAATCAAAATCATGTTCACGTTCATTAGCATTCATAATCTAGTATTTAAAGAAATAGTTCTTCCAAAAATGAGAAGTCTGTCGTTACGCACTTCATGTCGTTCCAAACCCCCGTGATGTTATTTTTTGTAACACAGAGAAATGTGAGACTATTCTCTAAAAATCGTTATTTTCCTACATGTATTTTCATCTGTTTTTGTCTTTTATTCTATTTCTGCAGTCAGCGTTGGTGCTTTGCATGGATGTGGGTTTCTCCATGAGCAACTCTGAGCCTGGCCAGGAACCGTCCTTCGAACAGGCCAAAAAAGTCATCCAGAAGTTTGTCCAGCGGCAGGTTTGTACTTTTTCTCCCATTAAAGGGATAGTTCACCCAAAAATGAAAATGTGATGTTTATCTGCTTACCCCCAGGGCATCCAAGATGTAGGTGACTTTGTTTCTTCAGTAGAACACAAATTATGATTTTTAAGTCCAGCCGTTGCTGTCAGTCGTATAATGCATGGCAATGGTAGGCTCAGAAGTTGGGAATACGTGGAAAGTCACCACTCCCGAATGAGTTCGTGCGAGAGAACGTAATCTTTTAGTTTTAAGTCGGTTTGAACAATCCGGATAAGCACAAGTAAGTACCATTTTGATTAGCCGTCATAACTACAATGACTGTGCACTGTGTAAACAATGAGTAACATATACACGCGAGAGATCACTTCCGGCGCTTGCAACATTTAAAGTTAAAAATCATTATATGTGTTCTACTGAAGAAACAAAGTCACCTACATCTTGGATGCCCTGGGGGTAAGCAGATAAACATCACATTTTCATTTTTGGGTGAACTATCCCTTTAATTGATGATATCTGTTTGCTACTGCAGAAAGAGCTTGATTGACGTCCTCTATGTTTCAGGTGTTTGCTGAGAATAAAGATGAGGTGGGTCTGGTGCTGTTTGGTACCGATGGCACGAAGAACAGCTTGGCCAAAGACGGCCAGTATGAGAACATCACGGTTCACCGTCACCTCATGATGCCTGATTTTGAGCTGCTCGAGGAGATTGAGAACGAACTGCAACCTGGTGGTCAGCAAGCGGACTGTATCCTTCCTGTTACACACACACGTTATAGATCTCATGAGGTGATCGGTTAAAGGAATAGTTCAAAACATCACAATAATCCACACCGGTCCATCAGTTGATGTCTTCTGAAGCAAAAAG